TATTTTGATACGTTATAAATGGATTGATTTAGATTTATAGATTTGAAACAAAATTTACCCTGATGATTTACTACAGGCTTGATGAAAATGGAAAGAAGATTTATACGCTGAGTCAGGAGAATACAACCGTGGCAGTTCCAGCAAAGTTCAGTGTTGAGGACAAGAACAGTGTGTACAGAATAAAGATCAAAAGGAGGTTTGGGATACCACCATTTGACGAATGAAGGAGAATGGGGAAAGAGTGTATGTGTGGTTGTTAGATTGATTTGTTGTAGATTGCTGCTTTTTGAGTTGATTTAATGTGTTAAGTGATCTATATCTGTTAGTGTTGCTAATATTCAACTTGATTGGTACGAAATGGGAATAAAAATGAAGTTGTATCAGTTATTGATTGTGATTTTATCATGTGTTTGTAAGTTGCTCCATTTATAGACACGTTAGGAGGATATACATCAATGTGGTGTATGGATAACGGCTTTATATATCATCATACGCATTCAAACATATTTGAACAAGTACAACATCAATATTGATTGTTTATGGTGGATTTTGATAGTATTGCAGGATCTAATGTGTCTCGTTAGTTCAGTTAGGATACTAGAATATCAGTATGTAACGATGTGGTGGTGTTGTTGGTCTCTTTGAATAGATACAGGTTGTTTATTTATATTCTGACGCAATTTTACATAAGTTACCAAATCAGGCAAAAATAGTTTGTTTTGAAAAGGTCCATAGCAATTTTGTTTGTATAGAAAATAGAGAGAGAAATAATACTAGATAGTCTACCATACTACTATTTTAAGTATGTATAGCTGTTTCCAGCACATTACAACCTTATAAATCATATTGACAGGTTGCATTCTTATCTCTCCAATGCTTTACAAATATGCTTTTATGTATACAAGTGTCTACATATCACACCATTACTACTATATTCAGTACACTCACACATATTTCAAACACCTAAATACTCTTTTAATACCCTTATCAAATATTAAAATATTTTCAGGTAAATAGTATCATAAAACATCTCCATGCATGATATTATGCGATAAGTAGTATATAAATAAACGAAAAAGATACCCCCATGTGTTTCAGTTACATTCCAGCGAGCTCGTCGAGTCAGAACAAGAAGACGGTAGAGCATTCCAGGAGTGAGGAGAGTTTGGAACGTGACAGTGTTGAGGTGCACTTGGATGACCCGAGTCTGTGTGAGAAAGGGCGTGTAGGACGATTAATCCAATTCTTTAGCGGCATCAAAGCAGAGTTTACTGCGCATGAGTCAGATGAAGGAGGGATAAAAAGTTCATACCCTGGGATTGAACCCACTCAGTCTGAGATGAAAGTGGAATTACAGGGGGATGATACAGATCAGTCACACCTGACATCAACAGACTATAGAGAGGTAGTCAGTGATATATGCAATGATCACACTAGTAGCAGTGTGAAGGAGAGTGCTATTACTGAGTCTAGTGATTCTCAACTGAGTATTAACCTTGGTGTTTCTGATAGTTTTGGAACAACTGATATTAGTGATTTGGCAGAAGAGGTAGCTGTTGAGAATAGTGACATAGAGAATAGTATTCTTGAATCCGGTAGTAGCAGTATTCAATTTGCTATTTCTGATG